TTCACCTCACTTCAGACCTGAATTTAGATTGAATAATTACCCCAGACACAATAAATGCCAATTTGGAACCTTTGTCAGGTAATCTGAGTGGTGCTATAACTAATTATCCCTGTAATAAATTCATTAACTGAGCATCAAGTGAATGACGACAAATACACAAGTGTAGGGTTATACCATAAAACGTGGATGACAAAAAGGGAGTAGTAACAGGAGAAATGCCACTCAATCTACGTAGGGAACAATTAACCCTAAATTTCTGGGCCGCGTCTCAATCCAACCCCCTTATTCAAAACCTAATAAACAAAAATATAAGCCCCAAAAACCAAGCCCTAGCTCGAAAACACCCTCTACTTACTCCAATATCCCAAGGAATAACCAATTACTTAAATGAACACCAAATAAACAATCTTAAACAAACTGTAAAAAATCAAATATCTTCACCCCAAAACTTAAAACACCCAAAATAGACATAACACTAGCTAGCACAATAAATAAACAAACCGACCCAAACATAGCAAAAACCACCACACTGGCATACATACATGAAAATTGGCCAAATTGGTGTCACATTTACACAGACGGATCCTCAGATCCGATCTCCAAACACACAGGTTTCGGAGTCCACATCACACAACCAACTAAAGCAACACAATCCTACCGACTCCCAAACAATCAATCAATATTCACGGCCGAACTAATGGGCATGGCCTCAGCCCTTCATAATCAACAATCTAAAAAACAACAAAAAATCCTAATACTTATCGACTCGCTCAGTGGACTACAAGCCCTCCAAAATAAAAACACCAAAAACCGCCCTGAACTAATAAATCAGATACTTAAAAAGCTCAAACGATTTAACTAAGGCAGGCAAACAAATAGTATTCATTTGGATCCCCGCCCACGTAGGAATATACGGCAATGAAAACGCCGATAGAGCAGCTAAACTATCCCTTAAAATCCCAGAAATAAGCTTAAACCTACCCATCTCCAAATCAGAAATTAAAAGTGTTAACAAACAAAAAATCACCAAAAAATGGCACAACCTATATCAAAACTCAAATAGCCAAATGAAAAAGTTTCTAAAAAAAACCCTAACCAAACCAAAAATTCTACAGAGTAATTACTAAACTCCAAACAGGACATACCAACCTATATAACCACCTCAAAATAATAAGAAAACACGCAACAGGAACCTGCCCACATTGCAAACAACAAGAAACCCCAGAACACGCACTCATACACTGTTGCACTTTAACATGCGCACTTTGTCGAATGTGGATCACGGTTAACCAATCAGAGTTCAAAAATGAGTAAAACAAATATTACCTCCAAGTTTATTTAGCTGTCCTTGCAGACGGTAGCCCAGTCTCTTGTCACGCTCAGTTGCGTTGCGTATCATCCGGATACTCACGGGGAAAAAACAATAACAAAGGCAACAACCAGTTCCGGGAAATTGCTTTAGATCAGTGCCCCTTTAAATACATCATTCAGAATGAAAGGCGGGTGTGTGTCTAATGGACATGTTAAATACATCAATGACATTCAGAATGAAAGGCAGGGGTATGTCTATAGGACATCTTAAATACATCATTCAGAATGAAAGGCGGGTGTGTGTCTATAGGACATCTTAAATACATCATTCAGAACGAAAGGCGGGTGTGTGTGCATAGCGGACATCCTGAATACATCATTCAGAATGAAAGGCGGGTGTGTGTCTATAGGACATGTTAAATACATCATTCAGAATGAAAGGCGGATGTGTGTCTATAGGATATGTTAAATACATCATTCAGAATGAAAGGCGGGTGTGTGTCTAAAGGACATGTTAAATACATCATTCATAATGAAAAGCGGGTGTGTGTCTATAGGATATGTTACATACATCATTCAGAATGAAAGGCGGGTGTGTGTCTAAAGGACATGTTAAATACATCATTCATAATGAAAAGCGGGTGTGTGTCTATAGGATGTGTTAAATATATCATTCAGAATGAAAGGCGGGTGTGTGTCTAAAGGACATATTAAATACATCATTCAGATTGAAAGGCGGTGTGTGTCTATAGGACATCTTAAATACATCATTCAGAATGAAAGGCGGGTGTGTGTCTAAAGGACATTTTAAATACATCATTCATAATGAAAAGCGGGTGTTTGTCTATAGGATATGTTAAATATATCATTCAGAATGAAAGGCGGGTGTGTGTCTATAGGACATGTTAAATACATCATTCAGAATGAAAGGCGGATGTATCTATAGGACATGTTACATACATTTTTCTTAATGAAAGGCGGTAGTGTGTCTATAGGACGTGTTAAATATATCATTCAGAACGAAAGGCGGGTATGTGTCTGCATATCGGACATGTTAAATACATCATTCAGAATGAAAGGCGGGTATATGTGCATAGCGGACATGTTAAATACATCATTCAGAGGGAAAGCCTGGTGTGTGTCTATAGGACATGTTAAATACATCATTCAGAATGAAAGGCGGGTGTGTCTATAGGAAATCTTAAATACATCATTCAGAATGAAAGGCGGGTGTGTCTATAGGACATCTTAAATACATCATTCAGAATGAAAGGCGGGTATGTGTGTCTATAGGACATCTTAAAATTATACATCATTCAGAATGAAAGGCTGGTGTGTGTCTATCGGACATGTTACATACATCATTCAGAATGAAAGGCGGGTGTGTGTCTATAGGACATGTTAAATACATCATTCAGAATGAAAGGCGGGTGTGTTTCTATAGGACATGTTAAATACATCATTCAGAATGAAAGGCGGGTGTGTCTATCGGACATGTTAAATACATTATTCAGAACGAAAGGCGGGTGTGTGTGTCTAAAGGACATGTTAAATACATCATTCAGAATGAAAGGCGGGTGTGTCTACAGGACATGTTAAATACATCATTCAGAATGAAAGGCGGGTATGTGTGCATGGCGGACATGTTAAATACATCATTCAGAACGAAAGGCGGGTGTGTGTGTCTAAAGGACATGTTAAGTACATTGTTCAGAATGAAAGACGACGGAGTGTGTATACTCAGAACTTTAGCGAAGTGAAACGGAGTACATTTTGTCGCAAATTTGAATCATGTAAATTTCACAAAGAGAAAAGCATGTTTTTGTTATATTTATTTTCTGGTGGTTTGAAATGAAATGACGTTTGGGATTATCTGCCCTTGGACAGAGGTGAAGGTTGGAGAGGTTAAAAATGGCGGTAAGAAAATGACGTAGAACTGCAATTAGTTGTCTGTGATTTCACGTATGTGGTTGGAACGATTTAAGGCTTGGCCCGGAGGTTATTAAACTTCCCTGAGTTCGATTTCATGCTCAAATCCGGTTTCGTGCTCAACTCAAAACTCAGACTCAATAAACGGAGGATATAAAAAATCTGAGTACGTTTTCGTGCTCAACTTGAGCATGAAATAGGTACGATCTCAAGTACGCATTGGACCGTGCTCAACGCTGAGTTCGAGATCAACAATAGCAGCTCACCTGCGTCAGACTCTTCAAGCGAGGCGGGACCCGTGTTCCGAGAGTGTTTCGCGATCGCTCCATCCCCCTGGAAGATTTAGATGTAGTTTATTTACTTGGTCTTCTCGATGTAACCAGGGACACTGTTCGGTTCCACCACTGTTACAACTGCTAGTCTGCCTTGGCTTTTGGGCGACAGGCGCTATGCATCTGCTGGTTGGGGACATCCTAAACATTTCCCGATCTACTGCCGGCAGATGCATACGGGCAGTTTCGTTGCAAATCTCGAAACTGGTAGGGAGGTTTATAAAGTTCCCAGTTGGAGGAGACGCTGTACGAGCCAAGGTGGGTGGCATTCGGCAACATTGCAGGTAGGTACGTGGGATTTTACCAATGTGGACATAAATAAATGATTTCATTGGTGTGATTCGTATCTGTGCTATTTTGATTGGTCAGTGAAAAGAATATGGATTGGAGGTCGAGGTCATGTATATAAATAAAATAAAATTACAATCAAGCGATGGATTTTAGCATAGGTTGTAAATGAAAACTAGTAATCACTGTTCAGTACAGTATACCATCTATTGTGATACCATGACACCTTATACTTTCAGGATTTCCAAGTGTAGTAGGGTGGTGCATTGATGGCACATTCATCAGGATACAGCGGCCTTCCGCTAATGAGGGAGACTTCGTGAACCGGAAAGGTTACCATTCCCTAAATGTACAGGTAAATATCTTTAAGAAAGACATAATTTTAATAATCAAATATGCGTAATAATGTATGTGTTGCTTTAGGGATGGGAAGATGAGTGACATTTGTAAGTCTTTTGTATGTATTGTAAGTTTGGGTTTAAATTTCTGATTTGCTATCCCACGGGTGTGCTGTGATGCAAATTTCTGCATCACAATTGCAACGACAGGTGGCCGGGGATCTGTACATGACAGCCGCATTTTCCGGACGTCAGGCAATTTGAAAATGGTAAGACACGATTTTAGAACAATTTGGTAATAGTCTTGTTCTAGTGAAACAAGCATATATTTTATCCTGTTTCAAATAATGCCCAAATAGTATCATTTCTGTTATAATAATCATTTGTTAAGATGTCAAGAAGTAGCATGCAAAAAAGTCAATCAGTTAGTAAATTCAAATCAATATACTGATATGTTTGTATGACCTCTCATTGAATTAAAGTGACATACAAAGGGGACTTGATTTGGAACCCTGGATAAGTCACTGCTGTGCAAAAAAACCCTCAGAATCTCCATACCCCTGTACACCCATAAGCTTGGATTAATATCCTCCTTTTCAATTATTTTTTTCTCACAAGTTATTTTAGAAATAAACAACTACATTAATTAGAGTGAATGTATTTGTTCCAGGAGAACGTTTTATTTAATTCATCATGTTCAAGAAAAATATTGAAGTATTGTACTTCTTGATGAGACAAATGTTATTCATACATGATGATTTTTACTTTTTACAAGTATTCAAATCATAAAACAATCTGTTATTCTTTGAAAAATGATGGACTTGATTTTATTATGTACAGTACACAGGTTTTCTGCTGAGGGAATCAGGTTATGCATGTCGTTGTTTCCTCCTGATGCCTCTACTGAACCCCACCAACCGTGCCGAGGAACGTTACAATGGGTCATTGTGCAGGACAAGGGTGCTCATTGAGCAGACCTTCGGTGTCCTGTAACAGCGGTTTCAGTGCCTGAACAATGAGCTCAGGGCGACCCAAAGACAGACTGTGACCTATGTTGTTGCAGTGTTGTGTTACATAATTTGGGTATGGAAAGGGGAAATATTATAAATAATGATGAAAATCTGGAAAAACATCATTTCTATATTTTCATATATCCCGAGTTAGTACACATAGAAAACACGTAAAGCCTCGTCATTTCTATATTTTCATATATCCCGAGTTAATACACATGGAAAAACGCTAAGCCTCGTCATTTCTATATTTCAGATATCCTGAGGTAATACACCTGGAAAAACGCTAAACCTCATCATTTCTATATTTCATATATCCCGAGTTAATACACATAGAAAACACGTAAAGCCTCGTCATTTCTATATTTCGTATATCCCGAGTTAATACACATGGAAAAACGCTAAGCGTCGTCATTTCTATATTTCATATATCCTGAGGTAATACACATGGAAAAACGCTAAGCCTCATCATTTCTATATTTCATATATCCCGAGTTAATACACATAAAAAACACGTAAAGCCTCGTCATTTCTATATTTCATATATCCCGAGTTATACACATGGAAAAACGCTAAGCCTCGTCATTTCTATATTTCATATATCCCGAGTTAATACACATAAAAAACACGTAAAGCCTCGTCATTTCTATATTTCATATATCCCGAGTTAATACACAAAGAAAACACGTAAAGCCTCGTCATTTCTATATTTCATATATCCCGAGTTAATACACCTGGAAAAACGCTAAGCCTCGTCAATTCTATATTTTCATATATCCCGAGTTAATACACATAGAAAAACGCTAAGCCTCGTCAATTCTACATTTTCATATATCCCGAGTTAATACACATAGAAAACACGTAAAGCCTCGTCATTTCTATATTTCATATATCCGGAGTTAATACACATGGAAAAACGCTAAGCCTCGTCAATTCTACATTTTCATATATACAGAGTACACGTGGAAAAACCTTAAGCCGACTCTTTTCTTTATTTACTACATGCCTGTGAAGAGATTACTCGTTTAAGAAACATACAGCTGTATGACAGGTTGTGTAATACCAAAGCGCGTCCTTATTTACTGCGGGAAAGAAAGTTTCACAGACAAATATTGAAAACCCTCAACATCTCTAGGCTTATTCAACGACATTGTATGTAGAGATGATAGATCACTAACAGGAGTTTATGCACAGGTGATGACCCAAGCAACCTAGTTGCTAGGCTGACGTCACATGACATTGTTTCGCCGGTGGATCTCGCAACAAAATTCCACAAATTACGTCAAAAGTATGGGAGTTAGGATAACCTTAGCACTACGAGAGCTTTGTGGAGCGGACCCTTGGATTCTGAAGGCAGTTCGTTGTATGGTATTTAATAATTACGTGTCAACTTTTGAAGCGTTTGAAGTAGTATTCTGTTCAATTGGATTATGATGTGGATCGAGTGGTTATCTTCCTGTTCAAACATTCCCAAGCACTACGGCAGATCTTTTGGCTGTTCCAGGCATTGTCCATCTTTAAGCCAATGTTTCATATCTGTGTATGATTTTCTCGTAGTATTTCCATGTAACTTGGCACACAGCTGACACCTCCAATCAAAATCTGTTCCTTCTGAATTAATGGATTCATACTTGTGCTTCCTTTCTAAAATCGCCCCCATAGCTGTCTCATTCCCCTCCAAATATCGGATATAGTTCGCCAAACTCTTTGGACTGTCAAATGATGCCGTGTTGATGAAGGTTCCTTCTGGCAGAAGACGTGCATAGTCAGCTCCTCCACGAACGATGGGAATAGCTGAAGTCATGAACGTGTTGTAGAACTTCTCTGTGATGTAGTCTTTACATAGAGAATTTTCGAACGAAAGATAAAATCTATACGTGGTGTTTAACAGACCAAGACAATCGAAGGACCTTTCTTTGGGACAGTCAAAATTCTCATTATTTCTGCAGGCGCCATAAATGTCGACATCAATATGTTTCGACAGTTCTCGAACATACACTTCCCTTTTTGAGGGTGTACGACAATTGCTTACAAACCAAGCAATAGATCGGCTTTTCCGTCTTACAACATCACTTATATTCACACTGCCTCCAGTGTACACTATCCTATTGTAAGGATATGGTATATCCGAATTCAATCGGTACGTCAATGTCCAGTTAAAGCGACCATTCCAGTCAGGACTGAAAATTGTGTTACTATAATAGTAAGGAGGTGCTTCCCATCCATACATAATCCACACCTGGTTCATGTCCGTGTTTGGGTGTTTTGATGCAGGCAAATCAACACCATTGA